ATTTTCCATGCAGTCAGAACATAGTGATTGAATTAGGCCAGGCTACATTCTTACTTTCATTGATAATTTGCTATGTGTGGCTTACATTAATTTTTGTCTGCATTGTCACAGAACTCCTGGCACATATTACTTTAGGACCGAGAGCTCCCAACTTGGCAGATACCACTTGTGCATTGTTTATGTGAAAGCAACAGTCAGGTAAAGTTTTCATATGTGTTCATCATCATCATCATCATCAATTTCTACTCGGTGATAAACCCTAGTACCTACACCCAATATATGGCCACTGATAACACCATTTCTGAATTGGATTTAGTCTATTCTTCTTCTTTGGCTGCCTGTATAGTGTTCATGTCTGGTAACACCTCTTTTGACATAAAGTTCTTGTAGCTTTGTCAAGGTTGTCAATTCACCTACTCATCCTGCCTTTCCCTGTATGGGTTCTGGGGCCCTGTTGTGGGGAAAACGAGATTAGACCCACTGCCTCCCCAACAAGCATGTTGTAATGGTCGACTAATTGAGGGCTTTCTTTAAAGCTGGAGTGCGTCTGCCTGAGAAGAGAGGAACCAACAGTCTGCATACAAATAAGTCTGAGCTGAAAAATGGACGTGCATGTAACACCCAGGTTGTGGAACAAGACTAAGTTCTGGAGTTGGACGAATGTCAAGAACTTTCTGCCGGAATTAACAAATGGTGAACAGGAAGAAGAAGAAGAAGACCCTGCTTTCTTGAGATCATTGAGAACACCCTGGGCCCAGTCCATTGCTTAAATATTTTGAACACTGTAGTGTACTGAGTAGCTTATGTGAAGCTCTATCATGCATTGTTTAACTGTACCTTACTTTATGAAGCTTTACCACAAACTCTTTGAGCCAAGAATGTTTCTCAGCAGACATCCATGAAAGAACCCCTAACTATGCAAATTTATGAGAATATAATTCTTAAAGCAGTTAAATACGTAATAAGTACAAGGAATTGTGGAGAGAACAAACCAACAGTAAATATCCCCAAGACCCCATCAGCAAACTCAAAAGAAAGAACATACAACAATGTTCCATCTATGAACAGGACACTGCAGGCTCAGCTACCACATGCATAAAATAAAGATAGTAGAGTCTCCACAGTGTGCCTGTCATATGGGACCACAAACACCTGACCACATTCTGCAGGCCTGCCCACTCTACATACAATTATGAAAAGAAACCTTAGAGCTTCAAGAGCAAAATGTGTAGAGCAAGGTATGGGGAACCATGAAGGACCTGCAGCTGACATGCAAATTCATAGAGGCAGCCCACCTGATGGTCTGATCTGAACATACAAAACCAAATGCAAAGAAGAAGAAATTCATGATGGAAGTAACTTCTGTAGAAGCCAGACCTGTAATAAAACACAGTATGCAGAGCTTGGAATTCATTGGATAGAGCCGGTCAAACAGTATTTGGAGCACACAAAAAGAGTTAATTAACTTTGTTATAGACAACCATCAGTGTGTTTGTCGACATAGCCTCAGTCTGTCTAGTCTTCTTCTTCTTTTCTTCTTCACTTCTTGTTTTACTGCTTCAGGTGTTAAGGGAGATCTTAGTTTCTCTTCTTTCTCTTCTGGCCGCTTTGACGACAGTGCCGTTGTAGAGTTTCTCAGATGTTATCTTTGCATTTTGTTCTTGTTTGACCTCATGCTCCATGACCCTTCTCTTATGGTGTATGCCATGTATGGTACGGCATCTTACCAGTGTGAAACAGCGAGGGAACAAGACACTGCTACTACCATCCCCCCCCAAAGCCCCACACACAAAATAAGACCCACCCCAAAAATAAGACCCACCCCAAATAATAAGCCATAGATTGCCAGCTAGAATGAGAGACTTGTTGCAGATGAGTTGCAAGAAATTCACACCAGAATTCAGGATTTGGAGAGTTATGACAATCTTCGAGAAGAAGATGACATACATGAATACATCTACATGGATAAATTTAGATTTGTATGTCTAAAAAAGTCAGACAACACCCAAAAAAAAAAAAACCCTTGTGCATTTTTTAAAGCAAAAATTAATAGCACATCTCTGTCCTATTTCTGGGAAAACATGATATAACACATATAGAACACAAATGGGTAACAATATACACACACACATTTGGTTACATATATTGGTAAAAAAAAAGGACCATTTTCCACACCTTCAGGCATTTTGGGCATATGGGGCCAGACCTATATTTTATAGACCAGTTGGCACTCAGTGGGTGATGTGGTCAGTATCACACAGGCCACTTTCATTTCCCAGGACTTCACCTGATGCCCATTTAAGGCTGGGTTGACCTGGGAGCCAAGGTCATTTAAAAAAAAAAAAGTCAGGTTTTGTTAGGACCTGAACTCATGAACTTTGGATCCCTAGGCGAGAGTCAAGCCGCTACACCATGGTGGCTCCCTACACATATGTACACATACATAACAAGCAGGCATGTTTGTAACTAATTTCCTGATTGGCTGTCTTGTACAGAGAACACAGAGTGGAAGTGCTGGACCGAACCTTTACTCCCATGATCCTTCTGATTGAGGAGGGAGACAGGGTTTGGTGGAGGTGGGATAAAACGAAAGTAAGTTTTCTAGGGTAACTTTGCTTTTATTAGACTTTACACCAATATGTACTTGTTTCTGATTACTGATGAAGAATCAGCATTGTATCAAACCAGGCTTACCCATAGATGCTCTGCTGCAGCAGGTGTCTTAAAGTGTAGATGCTAACGGTTTCCATAGCACACTGCTTATACACAAGTTGTTCTCTTTGCTCATTATTGCCTCTAAAATCAAAACAATATTTCTTAGTTGTAAATTTAAACAAATAAGACACAAACGACAGACTGTACATTTATTGGCAGGCATTGTTTGCTGTATCTTGTCAGGTACACACTGCAGAGTGCTCTGATTTCTTGAAGTTATCTCCATCCAGAACTGTGTAAATAGAAGGACATGATAGTGAACCTTTGCTTGCCCTGGTAAAACTAAAAGTTGCTTTTGAGAGTGGTTGAATTTGTACTTCAAAAGATTCACATATTTGCCTTATATTATTTAATTATTCGTGCAGCACGCACCTGATGAGATGCAGCAAAATATGCCAGGCAATAAATTGTGCAATCTATTGTTTGCGTTTTCTTTGTTCAAATTTACTTGTTTGTTACTTGCTTTGTTTGCACCAACCAGTACCTGTTAGCAGAGGTGTTTTTTTCTAGAGATACAAGACGCTGTTACTCACCACATAGCACTTTTTTTTTTAAAAGGTGTCAAGTGTCTTTTACAGCAGAGCTGGAAACAAACATTGCCTAACAAATGTGCTATTACAGTGTACTGTTCTGTACCACCAGGAAAAAAAACTGGCCTGTTAGTATGTTGTGTCCTGCCAGGTTATTTAAAAAAAAAAAACTGCTATTAAGTTTCTGAATATGTCACGCCTTTTGTTGAGATTTGTCGTCTGGATACATTCATTCTTGGGAAAATAATGTTGTGATGAATTTCCCTCTTATTTCTGATACATGGCAAGCAAGCACCAAGACATGGGTGAAGAAGCATGGGCAGAGTAGATATCAATGTTGTATCTCTGACACTAACATAATTGCATGACATGTGAGTAAAGCAAGGGTGATTATGTCTGTGCCCTTGTGGCTGAGATAGAAGACATTATAATCAGCTCCTTATGGAAACAGTCAGCAGAGGTAACTTGGAAGGGCTGCTGCATTGGAGGACTGAGAATGCCCAATATGACGTTGATCGTGATAACATAACAACATTATACTCTTCTCTGTTTAAGAGGGCATGAATTCATAAATTAACTGTTTTAATTTTAATTGCTCCTGAATTTTAAAAAATTAACTATTTGCTTTAATTGCTCCTGCATTTATAAATTGATTATTACTTTAATTGCTCTTGCATTCATAAATTAACTAGTCACTTCAACTGCTCCTGCATTATTAAATTAACTGGTCGCTTTAATTGCTTCTGCATTTAAAAATTAAATGATCACTTTAATTGTTCCTGCATTCATAAATTAACTGGTCACTTTAATTGCTCCTACAATATTAAATTAACTGGTCACTTTAATTGCTCCTGCATTCATAAATTAACTAGTCACTTCAACTGCTCCTGCATTCGTAAATTAACTGGTCACTTTAATTGCTCCTGCATTCATAAATTAACTAGTCACTTCAACTGCTCCTGCATTCGTAAATTAACTGGTCGCTTTAATTGCTTCTGCATTTATAAATTAACTGATCACTTTATTTGTTCCTGCATTCATAAATTAACTGGTCACTTTAATTGCTCCTGCATTAATAAATTAACTGGTCACTTTAATTGCTCCTGCATTAACAATTAACTAGTCACTTCAATTGCTCCTGCATTCATAAATTAACTAGTCACTTCAATTGCTCCTGCATTCGTAAATTAACTAGCCACTTTAATTGCTCCTGCATTCATTAATTAACTAGCCACTTTAATTGCTCCTACATTAATAAATTAACTATCCACTTTAATTGCTCCTGCATTCATAAATTAACTAGCCACTTTAATTGCTCCTGGATTCATAAATTAACTAGCCACTTTTATTGCTCCTGTATTTATTAATTAACTAGTCACTTCAATTGCTCCGGATTTCTTAAATTAACTAGTCACTTTAATTGCTCCTGCAATCAGAAATTAACTAGCCACTTTAATTGCTTCAGTGTTACTGGAACCCTCAAGTCTAGTACTACTGTAACCTACCTTTGATGTCATAGGAGACAACTAAGTAGATTTGCACTAAACAGGTTTGGTGTCATAATGGCTAACTCATTATTTAATAACTATAGATTAAAAAAAAAAACCAGTCATGGATTTGTCTGCAAAAGACATGACATACATTTATTGAGTACCTATGCTTCAGGTATGAGAAATGAAAAGGAAAATAAGAAATTATTTGAAAATGTGTTTTGTCTCATATTTAAGTTTCAACTTTTTCTATTGTCAGTGCCAGAAACTGCACCATGTCTATCAGATAGAAGCACCAGGAGACAACCATAAGGACGACTCACCGTACGAGGTATTGTTTCTCTAGAAGATCACACATCACATATTCGTGCCCTTCACACATAGGAACTTATAATTTTGTTGTACTCATGTTGGGGGTAGTTATAGATCGTTTTTTGTGTGTTTATAACCTAGTGTATTTAGTGACTTATTTTTATTTTCTCAATTTGTATATTACCAGTAAATGTGTTTTTATTGCTCTTAACTTTCTGTCTTAAGAAAAATTTAAAATTAGATTTTAATAAATGAATTCTCCCATGCGTTTACAGGGGACAAAATAGTAGAATCTTTGATGACAGTAATTTTTGAAATAAGAATTAGGAAAAGGGTGCGTTCTGGTGCCCACTACATGGAACAAAAGCCACAAAAAGCCTGAGGTAACCAACAAATGAATAGCCAGTTGCTTAATACTGATGGTGAAGTAGGTACTAGATTTGTGTTTTTAAATTGCTAAATATAATGTGAAGTTTTTGGTAGATTTCTTGTTTTACTAGATATAATGTGAAGTTGGTGCCAGATTTCTTGTTTTACTAGATATAATGTGATGTTAATACAGACTGGGATTCTTGAATTAATAGAGTACATATTTCAAGTACAAATTATGTATAATGAATTAATTGCACTGATATATTATGGTGGAGAACTGGAGTTTGGATAAGTGTATTACAGAAAAAAACCTCAAATTTTGCTGTTTTTGTGTGGGTAGAACTTCCTAAATTTGAGTTTTCCCCCTTGTACAACTTGCATGTGGTGAATATACTCGTGCATATACTTCATTTTTCTAAATCCACGGTTTTTACTCATATTTCAGAAAGTTCTTTACTCAACTCTCCTAATTTAAAATTTAGTGCAGTATCTACTTTTCTCATGTATTGTTTTTATAATAAACTGTTAATTGTGTTTTTCAGCCAACAGTAAATGGTTTCAGATGGCATCAAAACCCAAGGTAATTTAACTAATACGTGAAATGCACATCTGTGCAGGTAATCTTTTGTCACTACTTCTGCAGCGAATGATAGATCTGCACGTATATAAGTTTACAGTATTATGAGTTTGGGTGATGAACATCTTCCTGGTCAAAGAAAGCCAAATGAAATCTTTCTGCAGTTGGATATTGAACCTTTGACTAGTCTCTTGGTAAGAAAATACAGAGGAGAATGAACAAATGAATGTTATTCTCAAAGGGTTATGATTTCATTTATACATCTCTTATTACTCTTAGATTCTCAAGGACCTTAAATCCTTCTGTCGAAAACGTATATCAGGAGGTCGGTAGTCTTTGTGAAAGCTATCATGCAGTCCATATCTCCTCATGTACCATACAGCTTTGTCTTTATTGTGGTTGGAACAAGCTAGATTGCATTTCTTTTGGCAGCTTACAGTTGACAGCGTTGGAGCACATGTTCAGCATTTTCTAGTGCCAAGTTGCAGGAACACGTCTCTGTGTTTCCTATTCTGAAAATGTTGTAAAAATATGTTGATGAAGTCTCTTGTGCCCTGTGTTAAGTATAAATATGCCACACAGTCCCTCTTTAGAATGACAATGGAGTGAGTCTTGGGAAGAACATTTGGTATGAGAATCCAGCCATCTTTCTTGGTTACTATGGAATCCAAAATAAGTTTTTACCCCCCTCCCCTTCCCCACCACCACCACTACTCTAATAAAAGTGAATGCTTATTATATTGCAAATTCCTAAAGTGCAGTTTAATTATATTTTGTCTAAAAATGTTTATAACGTGACTGGCAAACACATTAAAAACAAAATGTCCCATGAACTTTCACTGTAAGATTATTGAAAATCTGCCACATCATCACATCTGATGTTCACATTTTTATTTGTATTTTGTAGCAACCAAGGTTTGATGTGCTATCAGTTTAGACAGCCTGGTGTGTACTACTACTCTGACCAAAATTACGATGAAGCAGCTTTTTATATTGGAACAATTATTGTCAAACCAAAACCTAAAGAACACAAAGTCGAGGTCAAAGGAAAAGTGTTTAGGCCAGGTAAGCACAGCTAGGAAAGGCTAAATAAAGGAAGAAACCTAATTTTTTAAAGATTTAAGATTTGGGCATGCTGTCCTTTCTAACATTCTGCGTTATTATTTGTCTCTTTTAAATCATCATTGAATTTTTTCCTTTTTTTTTTTAAATTTTATATTGAACAACTATAACACTGATAATTATTGCATTATAAAAACATTTGAAATGTGTCAAAATTCACTATTACTTAACTAAATATTGTAGAAACATGACAAGATTATTCATGATGTTGAGAGAAATTTGTGATAGGGAGTGACTGGGGGATCTGGCTATCACTCTACACTCAGAGGAAAGGCAAGTTGGACATAGAATTAAACTGCTACTGGTAGCATTAGATCTGGAACTATTCGCTGACTGCTGAAGATAAAGATGGAGCACATATGAGAATATCCTGAAGGCCATTAACATATATCTGTTGAAATACTGCTTGTACTTGAGTTTTCTGCACATTGTCGACTCTGTGTTCCACTTGATTCTATCATTCACCCTAGCTTGTTGAATATTTCTGCTTATTTGGTGTTATCCTGTAGCAGACAACAGTTGAATTAACCCTTGTTTTTGTGTGTGTGTGTCTCAACAAGATGTCCTGTATGCTCAAACTGGGGATCGTATTTTATGGATGTGGGATGGAGATGCCTCCCTCCAAGCTGGAGAAAATCTTCTTATTTTGGAGGAAGACAAGGTGGTAAATCCAGATTCCCAGGCCACATCGACATCAGCAGAAGATGAAAGTAAGTTGTGTTCATTTGTTGGCCATTGAGGGGTTGGGGTGATGGCTGAGGGACGGGAATTGTTTAGTGACAAATCCATTCTGTACTTTAGAAACAATTGAACTTTTATCAGATGCAATATTTATGCATGGAGTGTTCAAAAGATGCATATCCATAGAACTTAAAAAAAAGAAATTATTATCTGTGCCTGAAACTTTTAAAAAGTTGAATATTTCTGTATGGAGATATTAAAAGATGTTTAATTTTACATAATGTTGTTTATATTTCCTAGAACATAATGCTCAGTGAAGTTATATGTTTCTTTGACCTGGTATCACAGAACCAACTCAGTAAAACAAACCACACCGAATCTTCAAAATGATTCCATCCTACAACATAAATTACTAATGTAAATGAATGTGTTTTCAGTCTATAACTGCAATAGTCAGCTGATTCTTTCAAAAAAAATTTACAGAGATCTCTTTTGGGAAGAGGCTGTTGTTATTCGAGGTTCCAACATCACTGCAGATGGATTGTCCCGTAACTGCTTCATTTCTTTGTCAGTGAAAATCACAAAATGTCCTTCACTGTCACATCTGAAAACTAGTGAAAAACTTGACAGTCCTAATAAAATATTGAAGCTTGCACATGCAAAATAAAAATGCACATGGCAGCTGTCAGATGTGCCAACACCTAGCTGTACCACACCAGAAAGCCGGCAAAAACCGCCAGCAAAAAATACATGCCATTCTGACCATAACGACCACCCACCATTTTAGTGCGGTCAACAAATGCTGTGGGCACAACAGAAAAATAAGCATTCCACATTCAATTTACAGCTCATAGTGTTGCACCAAGCACTTAGCTGAGAATATTTTGGAATTTTCACCAGCAAAACTTGGCTGGAAACAAATAACATTTCAGCCGTCAGCCATTTTGACCAACCAATTAATGAACTAGCCAACAAGTCAGATTAGCCAACCAATCAACCAGAGCCAGCCGGCTACCAACCGATTCATAAACTAGCCAAAAAGTCAAATCAGCCAACCAGCCAACCAATTAGCCAAAATTAGCCTACCAGCCAATTAATGAACTAGCCAACAAATCAGCCAACAACTCAGTCAGCCAACCAGCCATCTATCCAGTCAGCCAGCCCAGGTAATCAACCTTCCAATAAATCAAACTCAAACTTACAAACCAGCCAATAAAACCTCTAAATCGCAAATAAAAGGGGTAGAGAGGACCTTGAACAAAAAATACGGACATGTATTTTTATTTTTGACTCAGAGCTGCTGCAGACAATTGATGAAAATGCTGCCCGGCTGTTGGCCAGGGCAGGGCGTGCCACCACAAACTTGGCCAACATTGGCCTTTTCACATACAGAGTGTCTGATGCCAGTGAGGTCACCGATTCTTGCAGTGTTGTGGTCAATCCTGGACCCAGGGTAGGTGCAGATATTTGTATCAGCCTAAAAACTATTGAAATATCTTTACAGCATTTAGCTCTTTTCCCAGTATGTGTCTGTGGGCTTCTTCTTCTTCTTCTTCACTTTCTCTTCTACCACTTAGAGTGTCAAGGGAGGTATAAGGCTCTGCTTCTTGCTGTTCAGGATGCCTCGACCGTAGACACCTCATGTTGTTGTAGAGTTTCTCTGATGTTATCTTTCCATGTTGTCCTTGATCTACCTCATGCTCTATATCCTTTTCCCCTTAACTGTATGCCATGTATGATAGGAAGTCACAAAGTATTCTCTCTAAGCTTTCAAACCGTTTGATTTGCTATCTTTGTATGTAATTTAGAATCTGTTCTGTGCCAGCCTTTTCTTTTAAAACCTAACTCCTGATTTTATCTCTCCTGGTCACTAAGGCAGCCAAGAATAGACCCACTGCATACCTGAAAGCATGTCCTAAGAATCAACTGAGTGCTTCTGCCTGAGAGACAAGGAACAAATAGTCTGGACACAAATGAGTCAGATCTGTAAAACAGATGTGCATGTAACAGGTTCTCTAACAGGACTAGAGTCCAGAAGTGGATAAGCAGCCAGAACTTTCCGCAAAAGCTTACAGCCGGTGAACGTCAAGAAGAAATAGAAGAAGAAGAAGAAGAAGAAGAAGAAGAAGAAGAAGAAGAAGAAGAAGAAGAAGAAGAAGAAGAAGAAGAAGAAGAAGAAGAAGAAGAAGAAGAAGAAGAAGAAGAAGAAGAAGAAGAAGAAGAAGAAGAAGAAGATAAAGAAAAAGAAGGCAACAACAGAATCATTGCCAGTGGTAGAAGTTAACATCCACTGCTTATCTATTTTTCACAGCAGCTCCATCAACAAACTTTTCAACTTTCTCCCCTTCTTATATCTGCATGCCCTGGCCAAAAAAAAAAAATGAAACTGATTTTTAACATATTCTTTGGTCACCTACCAACTCACTCAGCGTTTCTCAAAATCACCTTCCTTTCTGTCCCATGGTCTGCTGGTGTGAAAGGAAATAAGAGAGCAGACGCTCTGGCTGGCAGTGTGACTATCAGGAATGGGTCCTCTGTGGACACAAGGGACATCATCAATGCCATACAAGAGACTAAATGCTGTGATTTTTGTGGAAAATGATTTTCATTGAAAGACTGCATACCTGGGTTTACCAGTTGGAGCTGTGAGACAGGAAAACCATGGGGAAGCCACCTGTCGCTACATCAGCCAGAACGGAATGGCAGTTGTTAGCCTAAAAACACTTGGAGACATACTCAGGAGGAGATCAGAGCACCTATGGTCATGTCCGATGTGCCATGAAAATTATCTCTAAAATAAACAATGAACAGTGAACCAACTATCTCATAGTTGTATATTTTTATAAAACAGCTATGGTTAAGTGAACTGATAAACCCTTAACAAAGATTAAATGTGTGTGGAAATGTTCTGAGAACAGTGATGTCAATTCTTGATTGATTGATTGATTCATCCATTCCTTTATTCATTCATTCATTCCACAGAACCACACTGTACACCTGACAGACACAGGCCTGGAACCTAAGGTGGTAAAGATCAGGCCTAACGACAGAGTCTGGTGGGTCTGGCAAAGTGGGAAGAAGCAGCACAACGTGCGACAGGTTTGTGCACTCCGTTTATATTTTACTTTTATTTAATGATTTTATTCAATTTTATTTCAAACAATTTTATTTCATATCCCTAAATGGCTGCACACACAACTGAGTGCAGATCCAACATCAAGATCAGCCAAAAAGAGAGAACCAAATTTTCTATAAGATGTCATTTACTTGACTTTGTACGCGTTGTTGGTAAAGATTGTTCTTTCAGGATTTTTTACCATAAGTGAACAGACGTCTGCTAAAAGTGATCGAGGCTGTGTCAATAAAGTTCTACACTCCTATGTTGTTTAAACAAAAAGATCACATGAATAATTTAAAGTTATCATCGTAATCACGTGACTTATTTTGAATTTCTGGCGGATAGATTTACAGTAGCTCAACAGTGTGGTTTATGACTGTCAGCAAGTAAAGGATCAATTTTTTGCTTCATTTCATGTTAATTTAACTCTCTAGTAACGCACCTGATGAGATGCAGTGAAATATGCCAGGCTATAAATTGTGTAATGTATTATTTGTGTCAGCATTATTAAAATTTACAATGAGAAAACATTGCTTTAAATTCCATTTTATTTTATTGATTTTACTGTTATTTTATGTCTGCTGGACAGTATTTGGGGCTGATGAGAGCCACAATAAAATGGGAGTTAGCATGTTTGCCTGTTAACTTTGTGGTTAGGAAGAAGCCTCCATGAATTAATGGCTCAATGCTGATCTGAAAGTCATGGGTTCGAATATGAACGAAGCCGAACATAAAATATAAAAAGAAAATTACTTTGGCTCCCTGGTCCACCCAGCCTTAAATGGGTACCGTTAAAGTTTTAGGAAGTAAAGGCGTCTGGTGTGATGTAGACCACATCCCCCCACCCCCAAGTGTTGATTGGTCTATAAAATACTGCTCTAGCCCTATACTATATGCCCGATGACCGAAGCGATATGTTTACTGGCAAGTTAAATGTGTACCTAACAACATGTCCCAGGACATACAAATGGGCTTTTCTTTACTAACAGTTGAAAAATTAGAACATATAAATTAGCTTCACTTTACTAACAGTAGAAAAATTAGAACATATAAATTAGCTTTACTTTACTAACAGTTGAAAAATTAGGACATATAAATAAGCTTTACTTTAGTAACAGTTGAAAAATAGGACTTATAAATGGGCTTTACTTACAGTTGAAAAATTGGACATATAAATGAGCTTTACTTTACTAAAAGTGGAAAAATTAGGACATATAAATGGGCTTAACTTTACAAAAGTTGAAAAATTGGGACACATAATAGACTTTACTAACAGTTTAAAAATTAGGACACATAAATGTGGTTAACTTTACCTTCAGTTGAAAAATTAGGACATATAAATTTGCTTTACTTTACTAACAGTTGAAAAATTAGAACATATAAATGGGGTTAACTTTACCTTCAGTTGAAAAATTAGGACACATAAATGGGCTTCACTTTACTAATAGTTGAAAAATTTTGACATATAAATGGGCTTTACTTTACTAACAATAAAAATTAGAGTGCATTAACTGTTGAAAGAAAGAAGAGTATAATGTACAATCCTGAATAAATTGCCTGTTCCTACATTTCAGGTCTCCCATGAAGGTGTGATTGTTCCTAATGGTTTCTCCAGTGGCATTCCCCGAGACAGTCCTTCAGCCTTCCATTACCAGTTTACATCTCCGGGCGTGTTCTACTTTGAGAGGTGACTTATGTAACTGATTTATTCACCTGATCAGATAAATGCTTCATTGTGATTACATGTCAAATCTAAATGTCAGATTCCTTTTTATTCATTGTCATGTTGGGCCATTATATGTCACAAAGGACTCACAGTCAGTTTCTCCATTCAGTTTTATTCTGTGCAGTCACTTCAGTATCATGGGGGGAATCCAATGCAGCAGCTTTGGCCTCTGTCATCAACATCTGGGGGGCTGAGTGGTCTCGAGGCATGGTGTCTGCCTCGAGTGCTGGAGGTCCTGGGTTCAAGCCCCGATGAAGGCAGGGATTTTTTTCACGTGGACTTCTAGTAATTTTCCCTGGCCTCTGGGTAGTAAGATCAGACACCTGTGTGTATTGTTGCACATGTAAAAATACTTAGGCTGTTGGACATTAAAAAGAGTAGCCTAACAGCACTGCCCGGGCAAAATTTGGAGCTAAAAATATACCCAAAGTATTCAAAGATCCTCACCGGGACAACTGAGTTCGTGCACTGCACTGAGATTCTTCAGACTCAGGTTTGATTTAGGAGTAGAATGGAGCACTAATGTTTGCACCCATGTGCCCTTCCTAATGTTGATCTGTTGAATAAACAAACAAACATCAACATTTGCTTTAGAGTCCTTCAATTTCCCATTTCAATGCCTGTTTAGTGATTCTGTTCATCCGTGTGTCTCATAGTGTGTTAAAAAAAAGCACCATCTTCTCTGTCTTATAACTGTCGATACTTGTGGTTGACATTTCCTTATTTCTTCACTCCTTTCTTGAATTAATCCCATTTTATGTTTCAGTTTTTCTCAGGCATTTGTTTTCGATGGGTTTTACTTTTGCTCCGAATCTTTAATGGTTCTCTAACTATCACTAACATGTATTAAAACAGAAGTAATGTTACAACTGAAAATAATTAACTTGGTTTAAACACTAAATAATGTCTGATACTTTTCAGGAGGTAAAATATTTATGTTTTAAGCTCTTGTCCTATAGCTGATTGCAAGCAGAAGTGACCTAATTCAGCAGGAAAAAAGGGCTGCTTTGAAATAATTATGCATGTCCAGCTTTCATTTTGTGAATTGGTTTTCTGCTTTGCTTTCAGTAAAGGTCTTCCGAAAGTCTACGGAGCCATATTTGTGTGTACAGAACCACAGGTAAGAGAGCCTGTATCATTAGTGTCTCATTTATAGTACAATCTTTTTAAAATGAATTCTGAGGGACCAGAAATCAAGCTCATGCTAACTGGGTGATCAAACTAGCCGCTGCTCATTAGAAAATCATTTCATCCATAGTTTTTAAATTCTTAGTCGTCGAGGGATCAAGATTCAACACAGCTTTATTTATTTACTTGTTTTTTTTTTAACTTATTCATATTTCTTCCCTTCTATTGACAAATGCCTTCTTACTTATTTGATTTCATAATATAGCCTTTCATTTTTATCCCATTATGTACTTCTTGGTTTCACATTGACCTTGTCTTTATTTACAATTTAAAAAAAAACTATTTCTGTTGTCTTGCCCATTGAGTTTTCTACAGTTTATGCTGTATTTAGTTCTCTGTTGATAAAGACGTTCGTTGAAATATTAGGCTGTGTTTGTATGCATCTTTCCATTCCATCCATTGAGCTTTCTGTACACAATATGTGTTAAATTTAGCATTTCATGCAAACTGGGGCCAACAGTTTGCTCATGTTAACTGAGTGTTCTTCTTAAGCAAGGTTGTGTTAACAGGGTTTTACCGCATTTTGTGTAAGGTTAATGTTTAATGACACTAATGTGTGAGTGTTCAGCTAATGTTGATTGATGATCAAACATATGTGACTTACGTCTGCCCATATAAACTGCTAAGCAAGAACACATCTCTTCTCAGCTGGTGACAGGTACTAAACTGTTCTTATAGAAAGCCTATGAACTATTGCTCATGTTAATGTGCTCTTTGTAAAATACTGCAGGGTTTATAAATATTTTTAAATTATGCGCTATAAATTATGAAAAGATTTTAAAATTGTTGCAGTATTCATACATTTTTTGGGGTTTTAATAAGTGCTATATGATTTATAAAAGCTGATATCTTTATAAATAGATAATAACATAACATAAGCCTTGAGGGTTAGGGTCGTGGGGGTGTATCGATGGAAGCACTATCACACAAAACCCGCTCATCTTTCTCTGTCTTCTGCTTGACGAATAAGTGTATGATAACCTCAGATCCATGAAAACCACACCCATCAGAGAGATAGAAAGGATAGCAGATACTGAACCACTCGAACTCAGAAGACAATACAAAACTCTTTTACAATATGAGAAATTAAAAAGACTTCAAAGTCACCCACTGCATTTTAAATTTCAAGAGAGAACAAAAAAACAGACTGAAGCGTCAGAGCCTCAACCACCTTGCTAGAGAACTGTACAGACAGCACCAAGATCTGCTTGAAAGAGATGTTGCACTGTGCGAAAAACTTAGGCCAGAACCATGGACAAGCAAGCCAGAGAAAGCAAATGTAGTCCTAAAGGTACCAGGAATCACTTCAAAAAATGCCCAAAGGGAGACACAACAGAGAACCCTGGCTCTTGCTATGCTTGATGAGAAGTATCCAAACACCACTTGAACTCAGGTTTTCACCGACGGCTCTGCTACAGATGCAGTCAGAAAGGGGGTTGTGGAATTTACATTAAACCCCCTAGCAGTAGAGCAGAAACTCTCTCTCTACCAGCAGGTGACATCTGCACTAACTTCAGAGCTGAGGCAACTGCCCTCCTCTCTGCAGTCCAACATCTCATCACTCAAGAACACAGAGGGCACCAAATTGTTATACTTAGTGAATCATTGTCTGTTCTTCAAGCACTATCCAGCAAAAAACAAGACAAACTAATTGCAGATCTAAGAAATAACATTGGCTTACTCTCCAAGGAAGCAGAACTGGTCTTGCAGTGGATACCAGCCCACTGTGGTATTCAAGGAAATGAGAGAGCAGATGAGTTGGCAAAAGCTGGGAGTAATCTTCCACAACCTCATCCACCACACAGCTACAAGGAAACCAAAACAGCGCTAAAGCAGTCTTTCAAGTGAGGTGGGGAAGGCAGAATGGAGATTACAGACCAGAGAGTGACAGTATAAACAAACTCAACAGGAAAGAACAAACATCAATTTTTAGACTTCGGACAGGACACTGTGGTCTTCGAGCACACTTGTACAGGATAGGCATAAAAGAATCTGCTGCCTGTGATTGTGGAGCAGAAAGACAGACCCCTGAGCACATACTGCAGTACTGCCCTAACCTCTCCCAGC